ATGTTTCACGTTGTTTCCAATGACGAACCGTCATTGGACTCCGCGTCGGAAGGATTTCGAACATACAATTGTCGAAACAGGTGTAATTTATCTACATTTCTAAACATCTGTTCCACAAGTATGACGCGTGCGTTTAAATCGAGCGATAACGATACAACAAATAATACTGATACATAAAAAAATGAGAGAAGAACAATTATTCGAGCGCAATGAAAATACACGGCAATTTCAAATGAACGGCGGCACGTGTCAGGCATTATTCCGCGAATGTCGCGGCGGCGTATCGGCGGGCTGCCATTATGTTTTCCAATGCGAAACAGGAATAGGAATCGAAATCGAACCGGAGGATATCGCCGCGTCGGCGTCGACGTCGGCGTCGCATCAGCGTCGAAGGGGAGCTGCGCGGCTCGGCGCATAAATAAAAGCAGGCGTGACCGCGGCACCGGCGTGGACCAATCGCGATTCAGCTTGGTCCTCCGCTTTTTTTTCTTTATTCCATTCGGTCCTCCGCCCCCTCGACGTCGTCCGACCGCGGTGATTCCCCACCATCGAGGCCTTTTGCTCGCGCTCGCCGCGTTGGATCGCGATCACGCGCATTGCAGCTGCAACGAGGAATGCATGCGCGCTCCGCGAATCCCGTCCTCGACGATGTGCTCCTGTGATCGCGAGCGACGTTTTGACGCCATCGCGGTCACCGCAGCGGTATTCGATCGCCTCATCCCGATGCGCTCCCTGCCACCGTTGACCACGGATTGGTATCCTGGTGTTGTTTATCGGAAACCGCATAACGGTATAAAAACTCAAAAACAAAAGTCAAGGATACGACCTCGAGGAATCAGAGCACGAAGAGGTCGGGTGAAATATACCGGCGATTGGAATATTCCAGCGAGAATTCGAACGAGTGGAAAGCTAACTTTCGTTCCGACCTGGGATCTGGGATGCTACAGATGCATCCGCGAAATGAAAAGAAAAAGAGTACCAAGGGGAGAGAGATTGGTGTTTGCAATTTTGAGCCCGGTCTTCCTACGGACTAGGCGTTTAAGGGTCGAGAGCTCCGGCAGGATATTACCTCCAAAATCTAATTATGAGATTTTTATAGGGCTATCGTAAAACGGCCGAATAATAGTTCGCAACCCTTCGAGAGCCGAGACTAGGTCTGCGCCCGGCCGCAATCCTTGGCCAGGATGATGGGGAATAGCACGACCAGGCCTCCTTAAAAAAAAAAAAACACCAAAGCATTCGGCTGTGCTCGGCCACACTGGCAAGGACGTTCTCCAATTAACGCGGAGACCCCTAACCAAATTCCTATCAAAAATACATCGTTGGACGTTACTATGGGAGAGTATTAAAAAAATTCGAATGCAAAAGTACTCGATCGGGGAATTTTGAAGCGATACCTTGTTTGTAGGCTGGCGCTCACGACACTGCCACGACGATGGTAACGCACATGTTTTACCTGGTCCCGCCGTAACAAGACATGACGTCACGACATGGCGTCTGCAGGTGAAACAGCGAGACCAGCAGCGTAAGTGAGCGCACTCGCTACCCGATCCGATTGGCCGAAAGGGGAATCCCCGCCCTGCGCCGCGCTCGGCACATCGTTTGCCCGACGTCGAACCCGGTTGACCCCCTCTTTTTCTCTCGCCCTCTCCTGCACACAGACACGCACGCACGCGCGCGCACACACACACACACATACACTCACTCACTCACTCACTGTCTCTCACTCTCTTGCTCGCTCATTTACTCGTGCATTTCTACTCTCGCAGTTTTATCGAGTCCTCGTTTCTTTCTTCATTTCGACAAACACTCCTTGCCCTCTCACCGTTTTTATTTTTCTCTCCTCGGAGTAATTTTTATCGATAAATCATCCACAGCAGCGATGCTCCAATAGAAAATTAAGACGATCGAGGTATTCGGGTTTTTTCAGAAAGTGCGTCAGACGCGAAGATAAAATAAGAACGCGATGGTCGAAAAATATTATTTAACGAAACAAAAGGAGATATCCTTTTACTTAAATGACAGACAACCCCTCTCTCTGTCCCTCTTTTCGCGACGATGCACCCCTCCCTTGGCAAAGCGTGCAAATACTCGACGCATAGAGTGCCGGTGGGACACAGGCTCGCGCACACAGGCGCAGAGGGGATCATATCGTGCTGGACCGTGTTTACACCTCTCTCCTGGTGCAACGACAACGCATCGAGTCGGGACGCATCGCGTCGCTCGCGCCGCATCTCTGCACGACCATTTACCGATAAGGACCTTCCGGGACGAAACCCTCGTTAACGCGCTCTTATCATCGTTGTTTACACGGCTATTATCGCTCCGGAGGACGGACGACTTTTCCCTCGCGTGGACCCGCGCCTGTGATTACGTCTATCACCGGTGACACGTTACGTAAGATTTATTAAATGTATCAACCTGTGGAGGGAGCTGTGGTATCCATGATCTTCTTAAAACTGGCGTCGAACGACCTACTATCGCCAAACAAAATTGAATGAAATCCTATATCAGGATCTGTATCAGTTTCTATACAATGGTGTATTACATGCAATTTAAAAGCGCAGGTTGTGTTCTACCATTTTGATAACAAATATTGCGCGTTTTTCATTAATGTACGCTTCGCTCTGAGCTGAGTCACGGCATTTGTCAAAGTTGACAGCTAAAATACGAAACTATTTTTGCGCCATCCCAATACTATCTCTCTAATAATTTAGAATAGATTGAAATTATTTATATCGAATGTCGGAATGACGAATCATCTCCGTTACGCGCGAACCGAACATGTCGAGGCAACGATCGAGAGCGCGAGGCTTCCTGGATCTCGGCCGAATGATCTATTAACAGGGAGCAGACGAGGCCGAGATATGCTTTGGTACGGGTTATTATTATTCGAAACTTTTCTAATAGGATCGCCGGTGCCCCGGTAAAACGAGCCGAGGTATAAAATGCTTTAGCATCCGATGCTCGGACGCGATAGAAATTTCAACGCTCCGATTTTATTATAGGAAATGACAGAGATAGAGACTGACAACGCCTCTATCGCGATTCGTGCCGCGCCGAACGAGCGTAATTAGACGTTTCCATCGGCGTAAATCGCGATCGACGGAACATTTATGTAGGATAAGGTATTGACTCATAATTTACCGGTTCTCGTTTCTTCGTTTGAGGATCAATCGCGATAAAATTTATCTCGACGGACAATTTTCATCAAACAGAGCTTAACGATCGCGGACGATACTCTGCTCAAATTCCTCGGCAAACAACCGATATTTTACATATTTCACGAATGACGTCAGCGGCACTCCGGAAAACAAGAGTACACCCGACAAATATATCGGGCTTCCGTTTGTCATCGATACAGGCGTAACGTCACGCCGGCCGATGAATATTAAATGACGTCATGGGACATCGTCGATCGAATGGAAAACTATTCGATGTAAAGCCGCGGCCTTTAAAACTTTGAAATATTATTCTTATGTTTATCATCCCGAACGCGTAACAAACTTCAATTATCGTGTTACCACATCACGCGAATGCAATTACGCGGAACAGCACGAGAATTGACGTAGACCGCTGGAAGAAAATCGAGAACCGTAGCGTGGGCCAAGACTGTCGTCAAAGGGTGTTGTTGAAGACTAAATCGACCATGGACACGCGTGCCAACAACAACAACGCTAATTCGACTGGTAAAACGATCTACGTGTCTTCTTGTTCGATAGAACTTAATTCGCGATACCTACAACCAAAGATACCGTTGATCTTGGAACGCAAACGGCTTCAGGACGGACTCGAGCATTAGGTAATCGACTAATTCTTCTTAACTAATTAACCCTTGAGTGGTGTCGACAGTTAATATTTACAAGCCGAGAACAAACGGTTCACGCGCATTGCACCGTTCTCTCAATTCGACTAAACGAGATCTCGGATTACGAATAAACCGATTTCCGAACGCGCTGGAATTTCGCTCATAACGTTTACCGGTTATCGATTCAATCGTAGTCTCTACGGCGCTATAAACAGATCAAATGTGACTTTTATATCAAGAATGTTAGACACATGCATAAAATTCGAGGCCACGATACGTAAAAAAAAAACCGCGTTCCAAGCTGCGAACGAAACAATGAAACTGACAATGTTTGTAAACTGTGCCGCCCTTCTGGCAGATCGCACCATTCGCTGTATTTTCACTGACGCTCGGCATAAATACTTAACCACGCGACTGTTCTCCATTGTCAGGCAGTTTTATCGATCGTTGAGCAACTAATAACACCAACGTCATTATTTCCCGTCCTGTTACGAGTCGAAGTCTACGAGTCCTTCGCATTTCTTGGAACGGCAAACAAAAATTTTGCTTCGCAACGTGTATTTACGTATACGATCGTCGAAGCGTGAATCGATCACCTCTCTAGTTTCCACGAATTGTCTTAAAAAAGAAAACAAAACCTGGAGAACAAAGTCCCGAGATTCGTATAAAAATCACAAACTTCTAATATAGGCATATGACAGCTGCAATGTTACGGGTAACATTCTTAATTAGATAATGGTTAATATAGTAACTAATAATTCGAATGATATTCGATTAACACCTTTTTATAAATGTCCAACGTAACAAAAGTAAGAACGTAAATAAATTATAGACACGCTAACAATCGCAAAAATATTTGTACTCGTACAGTGGACATTGAACGCGAACAGTATTTTAGCGCGACGTCTATCGACACTCTAAATGTTTCCGACATAAGTATATCGTTCCTATACTTGTACCGTATTTTTCTTGTATTCGATCGTTAGTTTTCGAAAACTTAATCGATGAAATGCGTGCATTTATCGATAACATTCCTATATGCCATTTAGTTCTAATAATATAGAGCCTGTGACTCACTGTACAATACCGTTCAAATATTTGCGATTGCTTAACCCAGAACACCGCATCGTTCGAGCAATACCGAGCTCGTAATAGAAGTCGTAGGAAAATAAAGAGCAAGAAAAAGACTCACCATTGGGCTGTCCGGCGTATGCCGATGGTGGGCAATGGGCATGTTCGCCATCGCCACCCCTCCGCCGGGATTTCCCATGTCCTGGTACTCGTCGCTCATTTCCATCGCGTAGGATGGTAACGGTTCTCTGTTCTTCACCCGAATTTTGGCTGCTTTATCCGCGAATGCGGTCGCCACGACACGAGATACACCCCCACAGCCGAGCACGCTGACAAAACGCGTATTCTCTTTATCGGGAAGAACTGGCGGCACGATGTCGAAGTTCGTCAGCGTCCGAATGTTCTTGCTCTAGGCTTTGATCGTGTTGAAAAAACGAAATCTAGCCGTCGAGAAGGAACGCGACCGACGAGACCGAGGGCCGAGAACCGAAAGAACGAAACCACGACCGGACGACCTTACGTTTTTTTGCAACGCACTGGCCGATATCGAAGTCGCGAAAATCACACGTGCCACGAAAGAAGGATTAATATCGACTCGGTCGGTAAGTGGTCGTCTTTCCGGTAAAGACAACGCGATTCAAACCACGTATCATCGGCACCGCGAGCAAGCACTTTTTACCGAGTTGTCCATGCTTCCGGATACGTCTCTCTCCCGCGAAACGAGCAGTCGTTTTCAGCGGTCAGCCACGGTCTTCACAAAGCTCCTCTTGGTTGTCACCGTCGGCGACGTATACTCTTCCTGTTTAACGTTTCGGAGCTGTCACACCAAGGTGAAAGAAGCACACGCGGCGCGCTCGGTGGCTGACATGCGTGCAAGCTTCCTCTGCCGCGAACGTTCGAACGCCGCCGATCGCGGGAGATACACAGTAGCACACAAGAAAAAAAGATGGAAAGTTTAGCATCGAACGACGCGTACGCGGTTGTAATCGTACGTAATCGAATCGTGTGCGCACACCGCGATACCGAAAGGGACTGACACTTCCAGGAGGAAGGAAGGAAGGAAGGAAGGAAGGAAGGATGGATGGGTAGGAGTGGGGAGAAGGATCTAGAGAAGACACTTCTTGGCTGGGAAAGGGGGGAGGGTGAGACAACAGAGAAGGAACAGAACACGAGGACGAACGGGTGTGTCGCGACTCGCGAGATGCTCGAACGAGACGCGAACGAGCAATTATCGATACGAGAATTACGCGCGCGACGATTTGTTCTCTCGGACTCTGCTCGACATCGCGTCCCGCGAAACCGTCGCTCGAAGACTGCGAACGCGAGCGAAGAAACCAACGGTTACCGATCCTGGCGAAACTGAGCGAAAACTGACCGATAGATAAGAACGATGAAACGGCGGACGACGGAGTTGACGCGCGCACACTCGCGTCCCCTTGCGATCTGACGCTTGGAAGGCTCGCTCGCGGTTCGCAATCCCCTCTACTCGCTCACGCTTCGGAAGAGGGTTCGAGCGTTGGAGCGTTCGCTGGCGGACAGGACGAGCAGGCAGGCGGAATCGCGTTCCGTGGGCGGAGGCCTACGACGCCAACGCCGTCGGCTTGCACCGCGTATCGGGTTGCGGTAGGCGGTAGACCGATGGTCACGCCCGGTATCGACACCTCCCTCTTCGCATTTCCTCTTTTTCCCTCGTCGAGCTTCTCCCTTACGCTCTCCTTATCCCGCGAACCCCCTCTTGAGAGCATTCCTCCTTTTTCGCGCACCCTATCGGATAACGACCCCTGCGCTGCGAACCCGAGCCTGGAGACGGTGATTTTCGGTGCGGTCGCACGGGATTTCCCCTGGCGACCGTGTTCCCGCTTCCGTTGTATCCTGGGATCTCCTCGCGATACCTGGCTCCGAGGCATGCGTGCACGCACTCTGCCTAGGCAAACCTAGCCAAACCGATGCTTTATAATAAATTATTTCAACGTCCATTCTCCCTGCGCGCGAATCAATTATTAAGCGGTGCCATTACGTCGATCGTTGCAACGATAACGTCGGGAGCGTAGTCGACATCCATGCAGATTGATGTCTGTATTCCTCCATTTTTTTTTATTTCTTTTTTTTTTTTTTTTTTTTTTACCGCGGAAATTGCGATTCTCCGCGTGATTTTCGTTACCGCTTCGTGTGCCATCCGGAAAACACAACGGCGCAAGGAAGCCGGCAATTGTTCGTGATTGCGATGATCCTTTGGAACGATACCGCGCTATGAAAGATCCTCCTTCGATATCGTCACGACACCCTCTCCACTCCTTTTCCGAGGTGCAAGATCAGGTTTCGCGATACAAAAATAACGCGCTTCGACCAAAGAAACCTTGGTTACTATCGCGCGATGAAAGAGTCGTCGTATAGACGTCTTTCTTCGTCTTTCTACTATTTCTTTTCTTTCGTCGTGTTATATTTACGAGGCGTGAAAATGAGAGCTCGGAAAACTTCCGGCGTGTCTCTGTGATAAAAATATTCGCTTGTAATATAAAAAAAAGGAAATGTATTTGTTAGCGTTACAATTCACTACAAATTTTATTATCATAAATAAATAAATACCCGAATACCCGGTCAACGTATCCATCTTTCGGCTCCCTTTCGTCCGCTCTCGTTTCGAGCTCTCTCTCCCTCTCTCCAGTTCGCGCTCCTCTTTTTTCCCTCGGGGTTGGTTCGCGCAGCTTCTCTTCTTCCAGTTTCGTCTCGTCCTCCGGTTCTCGGCGTCTCTCCCGCGCGTTTGTACGCGCGCATCTGCATGCGCTCACGTCACATACACAGCCAAGATGGCGTATACGGTGCTCGTAGTACAAATTGCAGGTAATTGCAGCCCGCGGAGAGGGCTCTCCGACTCGCGGGGGCGGAGGGGCGAAAGGGACGAAGGGCTGGGCGAAGTCGAGACCGTGTGAAACTGCGAATTTTATGATTTACAAACGCGATCCTTTATAAGGGTATATGGATCTACGCGAGGAACGAGCCGAGCCGCAGTTAAGATCCGCCCCTGTGACCTCGCGGACCAACCGCGAGATAATTGCACGCCACGGACGATGCACGATTTACTCCTTGCGATTTACGATTTCGCTCGGTTGGCCGAGCCGAGGAAATATCGACCGGGAGCAAGAAAAGCTTGCTCGTTGTTTAGCCCGAACGATCCACCGATATCCTCGAAATTGGAAAGGGAAACGATCGCTGCGAATAAACCTCTGCGAATCACTGTACGACCGCCTCTTACTACACCGTAATTTAACGTACGGGATACCTCCTTTTAACCTTTCCACCGTCTTCCTTTTCGGTTAAGTTCAATTCGACGACGACTACGTTCGTATAATATCAAGACATTCAGCAAAGCGTTGCCCGATTCGTTCGAGCATCCGAGCCACCGGTAGGAACCGATCGGCCATGCGAATCTTCGCGGCGGTGGGTAGTCATTGTCCGTTACGATATTTCTCGGAAGGTCACCAGACCTACCGACGGTTCCACTCGACCTCGCTCGTTCCGATTTGAACCGTTACGATTTCCAAAATTTTATAGGAGTGCTCGCAATAAAACCTACCTATAGCTTCGTCGCTCGACCATGCGAGCCGTTTCTGCAGAACGAAAGGTCCCTGGATCAGATGTTTCGGTTAGGTTCCGCGACCAAGTTCTGGGCGCAGGTAATTATCGCGAGAGAGTCAACGTTCCCTCGACGTATTCCGTACGAAGTTCACGTTGTTATCAATTTCGTACCGAACTCGCATAAATTATGCCGGCAACGACGGCTAGGACGTCAAACCACGTAGTGCGCGCACGTGTACGAGGCGCGTCCGCCCGTATGCTCGGACGTAATCGAAAAATTGAGACAGCAAAGCCGAAGTAACCGCGAGGGCACCGACTTTCGTCGCATTACGGAATCCCCAAGCACATTAACCGAAGGACGAGAGGATTAACCCGAGTTTCCGGAATTAAATCATGACCAGGGACTGTCGTACGACCTTCGACGGCCCCGCAAATACATGCCATTATCACCGATTTCGGGTTATCTCGGGTTTCTAATCCGCTAAGCATTAATTACTCAGCAAATCGTTAAAACAAAAAAAATAGAAACTTTATGGAAAAAGTAAAAACATTTTCATGACAGTAATTGCACTGGAAGACTCTCTAATACATAGGAAGGATGTTTGAGAAGCCGCACCTCGGGACGTTCTCTCGTTTCTTGGCACCTTCGATTGACAATTCTCAGGCCTGCGCCTGGTCACGAGGCTCATCCGTTTGCTCTTCCTTCCTACGTTTCACCTATGAAAATCGTGCACGTCTCTGCCTCTCTCACCTTGCGTCGTCGTTCCTCTCTAACGTGTACGTCGTCGACACATAGATGCGAGTCGCCGTACGAGAACATAGCAAGAACGCAAGTTACCCATTACGGGGCTCCATCGCTATTTTATAGCCCATCCGAGTGGCGCGCTCACCGCCATCTTGTTAGCCACGTTTAAATATTGATGGAAGAACGGATATTCGGACTGGAAAGGTTTTCTGTTCATGGAATCGGCCCGCGAGTATCTGGGACTGCGACGTCCAATTACCAGCATACGATCGCTCACTTTTTCGCCGTCGACGAATCGCCGGATCCAACGAAATCGGTATCGCGTTTCGAGGATTTTCGTTTCCATAGTCAGAGAAATCGCAGAACCGTACGTGGAACCTAGCCAGCCATTAGAATAATGCAAATGATCTCGCTTTATTATACCTTCCGAGCCAGTCGATTCCGTTTCTAGACGAGTCGGTTTCTTGGAACGCGATCAATTCCCTCGCCTTCGTTTCCTCGCATTTCTCGTTTTCTCCCTCTCTCTCTCTCTCTCTCTCTCTCTCTCTCTCTTTTGTCCTCCTCTGCCTTTCGCTACGTCTACTTTCACCTTGTTACCATTATTTTTACTCTGGTCATTTTTGGTTACTCGTGTGTTTCCCTTTCCAGTCGATCTCATCTTCTTCCATTCATGGCTTTCGAACTTTCGACTCTGTATCATCACCCGAGGGAAACCTGCGTGTCTGCGCGCCACCGAACCATGGAGTATCCGTAAAGTTTGAACGAGTATCGACGCGCGTCCATCGGGACGATCAAAGTCGAAGAAATCGCGTCAAAGTTTGGTCGAGGATGGCGCGTTCGCGCGAGCGATTCAACGGCTTCTCTCCGCTAATTTGGTGTCCGCCGGTGCGTGTCCATTATTGTGCAAATCGACGAGCAGATTGCGGCAAAAAGGTTGACAATGGGGGGATCGTCGCGTAAGTCCTTCGTGGTCCCGACGGGGTGTTGAACCACCCCATCGTTAGCGTGCCGAATCAACCGGAAATTCCAGCTTTCGTCGCTTCCGTATTCAGTGTACGCGAACGAAGAGAGAACGCGCGGAACGCCGAGGCAGAAGGAGAGAGGAGAGGGCAGTTGCCGATGGATCGGGAAGCTGAGCGAGCAACTTGCGCCGAAGGAATTAGCCAAGGTGAGATAATGCCCGGCAAACATCTCCCGACGCACCTCTCCGTCGGCGTCGCTCGATTGTCATGAAAATATTCGTATATTATGGGGGGACGGAAGGGAGAGGGATGGGAGGCCGGTGGTTTTTTCCTGTTTCCAGATAATTAGAGATCGACGGCTGCGAAGAGTGGCCGAAGACGCCGCGGCACCTGGACCGTCTATGCAAATTCATCCAAGTTCCCCTCTTTCTTTCACACCTAACTCCTTCAGTCGACGGTAATCCTCAACCGTTGGACGAAACTTGTCGCGAACTTTCGAAAACGTTCCACGTTTTTCCACCCCGTATCGCAACTGGAATCATCGACAACTGAACGTTTTCTTGCCGGAGATTCAGTTCGCGACTCGCTGTTTCACGTATCCGGCGTGGTGTAACCTTTTAATCCGTGCTCGAAGAAATGGAGGACGGGTTCGGGGTGTCGGCGAGGGCGGTGGCGAGCGAAACTGAGAATGATTGCCCCGAAACGAGAGAACCGTGAGTAGATCGCTTTTAGGACCATTAATTATCCTAGAAAGTGCGAGAACGAGAAGGAACCACTGTGTTCCATGCGCGAGAGAGACGAGGAGAGGGCGAGGCGTAAGGGATGCCGGGGATGACGAGGAACCAGGAAAGGAGAGCAAAGGAGACGGTGAATGTCGCCACTGCAAACCGAAATTACCGTCGAAGATTAATGATCGCGCGCTTTATTACAGGTATTTATAGCCGTGCTCTAAAATCCTCGCGCAGTTAACCTTTCGGTAATAGGAGCGATACGGTGCTATCGCAGGTTTCGAAAAATTTAGGCTCTCTCGGGTGTTCGTTAAAGCTTCAACACCCACTCGTGTTAACGCCGTTGATCGGAAAAGATGATAGCTGGATCGAGAAGCTTAACGAGGTAGCTGACACGGAAGGAACGAAGTAAAATTGGAACAAATTTTTGATTCATCCTGATCGTTAGTTCCAGGTCCTGATAGATATAGACCCGTCGGTGATCTTAAGGACACAAGGACTGGAACGATACGGTAATCTCCTGCCATTATTCGTGAAACAGCATCGACGTATCGAGTTGTACGAGTGGCAAAACTTCTGTGCGACATTCGCGACGCTGAAAATAACGCGAGACGGAATATTCAACGGGCCGTCCTCGCGACGATATTTCATCGGTCTCGTATCGTCGCCAATGTCGCGCTCGCATTAATTAAGTTTAGCCGGTACGTTCGGTTTCGCGCGAGTCGCAAAAGAAGCCTAATAAAGCGTCGGAGGGGTAGGGAGGGAAGAGAGACAACGCGCGTGCATTCGTTCCTTAAATAAATCGCTTCGAGTGACGGATTGGGGAAGAAGATTAACGAGCGAGCCGGTGTGTCGTTCGATTCGATACGTCGAATTAACGCGGGACAGGAACGAAGGCTCTCGGTATCGGTTATTAATGACTCGAGCCTACGCCAATGTAAACGCCGAGTATTTCGTACTCGCGGCCATGGAAAGCTTCGATTAATCGCGCTTGATAAATGCCCGCGGATGGATCGCTTTATAGGTGCATGAATCGCGGTTAATTATCGTGAGTCGTTCGCCGTGCGGAAAAACGTCGAGGAATTAAAACGCTGAAGGCATTCGTCGATCCAACGACAAAACGCTCATTCTCCTCGCGCGTTGCGCGACAGAGGGATAAAACGGGAGAAGGTACGTGACTGAACATTTTCTTCGAGCGGCGTCAATCCTCGTGGAATCGAAAGTAATAAATAAAGAATATAATACTCTGCAAAAAGGTAACGCGTAATTTACGAGCGGACGACCAATAGTCGGCGTGACTTTTGTTTTCCGCGCGATCGTCGAGGAACCGTTCTCTTGTTGCTCCACGTGCGAAATTAAACGAATTCCAGACGGGACGGTTCCCTGCGCTTGCGTTTGAGCTTGGACGTCTCCTGAACGTCGACAACGAGGGGGTGAAAAAATCAACCGTCGCCCTCTTTTCTTGACTGACAGGTCCGCTAATATATACCAAAGTAGCAAAGCAGCGTCCATTCGTGCGTTCGGCGCTGCACCCTTGAATTGATATCCAGAAGGTTCGAACGTTTCGAATCTTTTTTTTTTTTTTAATATAAGAACTATCGAGGGTTGACTAAGGTTTGGGGAGGGGGGGGGGGGGGGGGGACGGTAGGAAAATTCCGAAACGGTGGAGATGGCGGGGTTGGAAATGAGAAAGAGGGCGGGAAACCGAGCTGCGAATATCCCCGAAGCAATACCATGAAAGCGTCGGGATCGTTAATCTTGCGGATGGTAGGTTGGTAGAGAGGTATTCGGGGTGTATATCGAACACTTACGAATACACTTGTACCTTAGAGAGTAGCGATGCCACACCCCTGCATGAGTCGGTGGTTGCGACCCTCCTTTGCGGGCTGTGCAAATATTTGCCGCGGCAGCCCATGCGTAACCCTGCTGCGCAAATACTTACGACAGGATTGCTAAACGAAGACAATATTTAGCGAGGAACCTTTCGTGCAAACTTCCTCGTTTTCCTTATTAAATTTTCAAGACCTCGTTTATCGTTGATTAACAACGGCACTCTTCCAACAGGACAGATTCGGCCGAAACAATGCAGTCCTCGTTCGCAGTGATCGATAACGCTAAGTAAACTGTTTGGAATTATTCCTATTTCTTGTAAATATAATCGTATTCAAATCTTTATCTATATACAACCCCGACGCGCGTTAACGGGGCAAGAATCAGTATCGCCATCTCGCGGCGGGTACAGAACTAATTTTTGGACTTTCGGTGAGGACCTCTGTCGGGAAAACGTCCAAGTTTGTCGTAAAATAGTTCACCTTTTTTGCCGCCAGACGGCGCCACTTCATCTTGAAAATACCGACGCTAAAGTTATCTTTATATTTTGTTATTATTTACATACGTGCTAAGTTTTACAGCGTGACAAACGAAGAATGCAAGATTTCCTACGTCAAGAATCTACTGAAGAAATAAAATAAAGTAAATGGTAAAAGAAATGACGGTAACCAGCAATTGGTGGCGCCATCTAGCGATATCATTCGGGAACTATTTTACGACAAACTTGGACGTTTTCCCGATAGAGGTCCTCACCGTAAGTCCAAAAATTAGTTCTGTACCCGCCGCGAGATGGCGATACCGTTTCTTGCCCCGTTAACGCGCGTCCGAGATACAGATTTAAAAATGATTTCTGAAGCAATGGCGACGAACCTGGAACAATACTTTAAACCATGAAAATAAATGAAATCCCGTAAGCGTTCGACGTGTACGATAATGTTCTGTTATTTCTACATTTAATTATGGATCACTGAACGCTAAAAAAAACCCTTATCTGTGTTAATAAAACCTATAAATAAGAGCGATAGATCGATCGAAAGGCCAGCGTATCCTATGCTCGGTCTGTGGTGAAAGGTCTATTTCTGCTCTATGCTTCTGTGGTATTATCGAAAGCGAAGCTGGATAAAGTTACACTGCAACCTGCAACCTTGCACAGCAAGAGACTCATGGTAGTCTATACGCACGCGCAGTACCATTCTCGATAATAATGCGACAAATCCACGCGAAGTATGGAAGATAACGTACGACAATGATCGGAAGAGGACGTAAACTCGTCGACGCTGTGAGTATATTTTCGCGGACGAGTGCTATTAATGTGATTTGACCTTCGAGGTTACTGGATAATTTGATTATTTGTCAACGAACGCTACGATCCTCGAGAATGTCTGCTAGGAGCCACAGCACAAAGAGAATCATTAATGTTGTAAACTGATCTTGAGGTAGGTTTAACGCGTAACATCGAGCAACTACCTCTAATCACTGTACATTCTCCTAACGCAAGTGAATCTTTGTCCGTCTTGTGATTATTTCGACCAAACAAAAATTTTCGAACAACCCTCGTATATCATTCCTTTCGCTCTTTGTCTGTTTCTAGATATCGTGCTACAACGATAAACCGTGGGATCAACAGCGACGCACAAAAAAAAAATGTCGTGCTCGAGCGAGCTGTCTCGATCGCAAGAGTACCTAAGCTTTCGGAGTTCCGTCCCGCTCAGGAAAATTATCGTTGACGTCGATGGCACTAAGGTAAAATTTATTTCATTTTTTCGATTTCGATCGTATGTACGGTGGGATTTTTAAATTGGAACGGGTTAGCTCGACGAGATCACTCTCGAGAATCACAACACGCGATCACAGAGTGGTTTTTATGGACGACTACTCTGTGCCGTGTTTGCCAGACCTAACCAAACCTAACCCAGGGTCATCGAGAAAAGTCCCTATAAAAGCCCCTAGTCCCCTCGTATGCGAAAGGACGTGATGCGCTGTACGTTAGGCCTGTTTTCCTGATCTTCTTAGGTCCGCTGTTGCCTTTAACGCTCGAGTGAAAGAGAATTCAAAGAAAATATCCTCTGCGTCCTCTTCTTCAAATGTTACAATAAATTTCCTTAGTTTCACCTTGTAACTGCAGACTATGTAAACAAGTCTCCAGTTCGAGGACGTCAATAAATCAACGGTTACAATAATACAATACGACCAGATGTTCTGGATTATGCGGATTGGACAAACCCGTTCAATAACAACTATTTTCCCCGACAAAGTCTCGAATTTCATGTATTCTGCGATAGACATGCGCGTATTTTCTTGAAGAACAAAAGAAGTTCGTATAAAATGAACGATTTCAAGTTTGATATTTTTTTTTAGGGTGTTTATTATCATTCACAATTAAAGTAAATTTAGCCACTTATAACAAGAAGAATAGATATCTAATACATTTACAACGAACGTGTATTATATCGATGCTCGCGACGGCCATCCAGGATTCGCCATTTTGAATTTTGGAATCTAATGCAGATTTGGAAACTCTGTTCTTAAACTAGATAATTGTTTTGTTCGTTTCAGGGATGGAAGGTATACGACTCCAGTCCAAAAACCATAAAGTGCCCCTTAATATGTCTTCCACCGGTTAGCGGAACGGCGGACATTTTCTTCAAACAAATATTGGGCTTGGCGGCCAAAGGATACAGAATCATATCGGTACGTATCGCGGACGGTGCGACGGATAAATAAATCTATGATAACATATGAATATTATTTTAGGCCGAATCACCGGTTTATTGGAACGTTAAGGAATGGTGCGACGGATTTCGAAAACTCTTGGATTACATGGAACTAGACAAGGTGCACCTGTTTGGAGCTTCATTAGGTCAGAACGTACGGACAAACCGAAATATCGAAGTCGGATAAACCCGTCGAACGTTTGAACGCGTAACTTTAATCGAGATATTTATATTCAGGCGGATTCCTGGCACAGAAGTTTACCGAAGTTAACGCCCACTGTCCCAGAGTAGTGTCGTTGGTGCTCTGCAATACGTTTACAGACACCTCGGTGTTTAGTTACAATGATTCAGCTGCAGTGTAAGTGCGCTATTCTTTTATGAAATAATTGTACGCTACGCTCGAACCACTTTAACGTGAGTTTCAGCGCACGTTTGGTCGGTCTGTGCGAGATAAGCGAACGAACAACGCAACGCGATACGTTATCGCAATTGTTTTGCGCGTAACTATCGCTAATCAATTCGAATCGTAGGTTTTGGATTCTACCGTCGTTGGTGTTGAAGAAAATGCTGATGGGAAATTTCGTGACGCAGAAAGTCGATGGAGAGATCGTGGAAGCCATAGATTTTATGGTGGAGAGGGTAAATTGTGCTTACGTACTATTTTTACTCAAAGAGATTCGCGAGTATTTAAAATCATTTCACGTTCGCAGCTGGAGAGCTTAACTCAAGCGGAATTGGCGTCTCGGTTAACGATAAATTGCGTAAACTGTTACGTGCAGCCGCAGAAGATATGTCATTTGCCCGTTACTATCATAGACGTTTTCGACGAGTACGCCTTGTCGAATTCAGTGAGAGAAGAGATGTACAAATGCTACCCGAACGCCAAGTTGGCGCATCTGAAAAGTGGGGGGAACTTTCCGTATTTGAGTCGGTCCGAAGAAGTGAATTTGCATTTACAGGTACCGTATAATAATATTCCTCGCTATGCAGTTATCGTTACGTCGTAAAAGCGAGACCTGTCATTTACAGATTCACTTGAGACAATTCGAGGGCACGGAATATGCTGCCTCCACGAGAACACAGGTTACACCGCAAAATACCGACGGCTAACACCGAGTCCAGGTGTTGGAAAGGTAGAAAGACCTAAAGTTGTCGACTGGAGACGACTTGGATACACGCGTTCCTCTACATGCCGACCAGTTGTCGATCAAATTGATTTTCGCGTCATTCTCTACGACGGGTACCTATTAAAACTCCTGGTTGATATAGCAATCTCGAAACAGTTACGCCAAGATGTTCATCGTCATTCGTATCAGACATACCGAAGTTTTATATATATATGTATAGTAATTAGTCTTACGAAGCGTGCGCTCTTTCTATTGTTATATTTTTTTAAGGGAACAATAACCGATTGTAAGGCGCTTCCAATCTCGCTTGAATTTGAATCGCTGAACGTTAACGTCAATCCACCGATAACATTTACGTTGTCATAAATACGTAAGAAAGCAATGTTCACACGTAACAGAAAATTAAGACCACGAAATGAAATTAATATCGATGATATATTTGATCTTCGAATCAACGTGTAAATATACTTCTTCAAAATAAATATACTTTTGTAAGAAACGTCAATGAAAGGTTTACGTTGTCCGTGGCTCTGGCGGTGAACGAACTCTCGTGGCGTCCGTAGCTCGCAAGACCGTCTAACCGAGAGACCGTACAAGAACTTGCTCCGTATCGATTTCTCTCTGTACGCACCCGTCCGCGTTTCTCTCTTGCGAGCTCGGATTACAGACTTTCCTGTCCATGGGATACCTTACGCTCACCCACAGACACACACCACACGCGTATTAATCACGGTCGTGCACCGAACCGCAGTCGCGTCATCCAACTCGCATTAGAATTGCTCCTGAGCTGACCTGCCCGGTATCTTTCGAGCTCGAGATCGCGCGCCAGCGTTCACCCTCTATGCGAGTATAGCTGTTCTAGAAAAACCTTTCTCAACAGCAGCCACGAAACGGTGCTCACATCTCGCCTCAAACTAATCGCCGAATCGTAGAAAATATATTTCTTTTCGTTGGTCAACGAATCGCATCAGTGGACATTCGACGCGTGTCGTCTAACGAGGAGAGTGAATGGAATACACGGTGAAAAAACGAATTAGAACAATGGCAAGTGAAGAATACAAATTTTTCTATTTTAATAATAAAACGAAAGTAAATAAATAATGGGTAAAAATTCGTATCGCAGATATCGAGATGTCACCGGTGTTACGTAAAATTTAGGACTTGAACAAACTTTACGATTTGGCTTTGTATGAACGGCTACGGGACGGATAAGATTACGCGGTTATCGCACGGAAGTCAATCCCGAGGTATCGTAATCGAGCACGTCGATTTAACGATAATCCTTGGTCCCGTGAAGCGGGAAACAGCGAGTGTTTGAAAGTTCAGTCTCTCAGGTGCTCACGCCGCGGATGGCTGCATGCCCCGCTGACGCTCGCAACCGGAATACTGTACGTACGCGAACATCGTTTGTCATTTTATACAAAAGATTAGATAGTTTCTTGTCATGACTATGACTATTGGACACGCGCGTGTTTTTCTCCCCAGTTGTGGTTTTACGATTGCGACGGAATCGATCGATCGGCGACAAGCGCGATACACAAATAGTTCGCAACCGATTCGATGACAGTAATCGCGCATCGAATTCGGTATCTTGAAACACGTGAGGGGGGCCGACGTGAGAGCTTTTGCCGACTTGTGATGTGAAACTTGTGTTTTGAATGAACGTAGCTTCGAACAAATAACGAGTCGGGGTTTCGTCACTTTTTATTCCTGATTTGGAATTTTTGCCCGTCTTTGCCCGTGGTTAATCGATCGCGAGTTGCATCGAGGCTAATAAGATTTCGACCGGCTGGTGTATAGCCTTAAGCGGAAATCTATCCGCAGGTGAAAGGAAAGCTGTGCGCGACGATTGCTTTTAACACGCGGATGCCTCCGGGAATGTCGTCGCTTCGCGATTCTCGTTAAGTGTGTATGTTCTCGATGACTGAACGGATTAATTACCGGATGGTCAGCGATACTTTACGCAATTTGTGAATCAGCCTTTGAGCTACCGGTTTTGGTCATTCTTAACAGACTCTGACTCATAAATTGCAAATGCTCTTTCAGGTGGATTAAAAAAATACACGGTCGCTTGTACATAAATGGTAAAAGCTGGTTGCCTAATTCCAATACCTTCGATCGGAACGCAAAGAAAAAAGTAAAGCACGTTACAGCCTTGTTCCATGTTCCGTCCCAAGTCCGGGGAATGCACAGAGCTTACCATCTTTCGAAACATAGGCGCATTTTCTTCCGAACGGATGTAGTATCTCTCAAAAGCGATATTTTCAAACAGTCTCCTCGTGTTTCGCAAACCGGACGTCTAGCTCGAGACGCTTCGCTCCCGTAACTCCTTAAAAGTCACGTAACGCGTTTACAAGCATCACAGAGTCACGCTTTCCTTCGAGCGACAGATGTGCAAAATACGTCACCTGCGGAAATTACGCAACTCGAATGCTATTTTTCATCGAACAAATTAAAATCATAAACGACAGTGAGATCGTAATAATCTGACGCGATAGATCGTCATTGTGCCGAATATGTAAAATGTTGTTAGTTTTACGGGGAAAGAAATGCTGATGATAATATTGTTTTACGTCGCGCTAGCGATTATCTTCGTAGAATAAGAAAAACCGAAGATGAAGAATCGATCGCATAACCGCAAAGAATTCACCTGAAAGACGCCCAGGGACGGTTGCATCGACGTCAAAGCGGATCATCGATTCTTCTTGAAGATGGACAACGACGCGGAGCGGGTGCCGCTGTTGCAGAACAAAATAGCCACCTCGACCAAGTTCGCGTACGCGTTGGGTCACATTTTCAATGACCTCACAGCCGCCATGTGGTTCTCCTACACTCTCATCTACTTCCAAAGGGTCGCTTCGTTGGAACCCATCGCCGCTGGTGCTCTCTTGCTTCTAGGTAAATTCCCTTGTTCCAACGAATCTACGGTTCTGCAAATAAAACGAAACAACGATTGTTCTACTACTTGCATTTTCAAGGACAAATCGTGGACGCTTTTATGACACCAATTTTTGGAATACTGGTCGATCGTTACTGGAAAAAGAAAGTGTGGCACATTATCGGTTCCTTTATGGTTACGCTGACGTTCCCCGTGATCTTCGGTGGTTTCGTCGATCCGTCCAATGCCGCCGTCATACTCGTCTACGTAGTCAGCATCGCGGTGTTCCAAACTGGCTGGGCTGCGGTGCAAATTTCCCATTTGTCCATGATCCCCGCGCTAACCAACTCGTCGTTGGCGCGAGCGGACTTAACCGCCATACGGTAAAATAATTCTCGCGTCCCGCAATGATCAATGTTAACGATGTAAGCGAATGAAATTATCATACAAATATTTACGAATCTTATCGTTATAGTTTTATTAATTTTAAGATGAACGTTAGTTAGTATTACTCACTCTATGGGTTTTCAATCGCCGTCGATGATAATCTCAGACTGTCCGACAGGTATTCGGCCCAGGTTGGAGCTGCGGTGGTAGTCTTCGTCGTCACGTGGATAGTCCTACCCACGAAGGAGGAGGCCGTGGTTCGATTGGCCCAAGAGGACAGTTATAAATTTAGGGTAAGCGGCTTGAATGAGTGTTCTCGCGCGATTTAATAAAGGCGTCGACCGTCTTTGTATTCCCAAGATATTTGTACGAGGGGACTCGTAAAGGGCTTAACGAATATTTTCCTTTCAGAACATTGTATCGACGCTGACGTTCATCGGATTGATCGCCACCATATTTTTCCATATCTTCTTGAAAGGACATCTTTTAGAGAATTCCGAGAGGAACGAAGAAAACGTCGAAGAATCCAAAACACTGATCGATAATTCTCGGAACAATCGAAATACCTGGGTCGGTACAGCGATTTTGCTTAGAGTGGCCATGCTGTACGTGGCCAGTAGGCTGTTTATCACTTTAGCCACGGTGTATTTGCCATTGTACATAGAAGAAACAGACGTCGAAGGAAAAGAGGCTTTGGCGACTGTTCCATTGGTCTCTTACTTGTCCTCCTTTGTGGCAGCATTAACGTTGAAGTACATAAACAAATCGTGCGGCACAAAGGTACGTTTCTTAAACTCTCCTCCGTTGAATTACTCGGTTCTGGGGGATCGGTCCATCATGAATTTCACAAACATGCATTGTTCGTAGAATATAGGGAAAATTAACAAGGCGCAGTTGTCATCTATGTCGATGTTCTTTTTAGATGTGTTATTTCCTGGGCACGCTTATCGGCATACTCTCCGCAGTGATCACGGAATTCGGGGGAAACAACGCGACGACAATTTACGTTGTCGCGATTCTCATCGGAGCAGGAAGCTCGATCACTATGGTCACTGCGTTGAGCGTCACCGCGGAGATAATTGGTCCTCGTACGGAACGCAGCGCTATCGTTTACTCTATCGTTACTTTTCTAGACAAGGTCGTTACAGGATTGGTCGTTATAATAATCGAGAAATGGTGAGAATCATTAAGGATCGAAGAAGGGTGGCCAGGATGCATTCATCTCGTTCCGTTTTCTTTCCCTTTCAGGAGGTGCACGGAACAAGAACTTTGTCCAAATTACAACAGAGATTCTCTATCGCTCGTCTGCGTCGTTTCCATGTCTCTGGGCCTCCTCACGCTATTCTCTGTGTCTCGATGTCTAACTTGAACACATTTGTATCTATTTATCTTTGTCTACTCTCTCGTAGGAGCCGTATGTAATGCCAAATGTAATAATAAAATTTGTTAAAAAAAAAAAATAAGGAATCGATTTCTTTGATGGACTATCGTCGATTCAAATGTTTCGCGGCATTTCCACCGCATCGATCGACTGTTTTACCGACGCGACCGAAGCTTTTTATCGGTCCGGACGAGATGTCGCTGCATGATCGCGACGCGATCCACGGAATTTTCCGAAGAAACGGACCGGCGTGGCAGCGCGAAGGTACGATGACCTGCTCGATTTACGCGTTACGTGGCTGAGCGTGGTTGCGTCGTAGAAGATGTAAGACGAGCTCCGTTGAATTGTACGCAACCGTTATGCCTCGTCGAACGATATATCTCAGCTATCGCGTGGACCCAAATGATAGAGGCATCCAGCGAAGTTCGCGAAAAGAAGGGGGAACGCGAGCAGAGAGCGAGCAAGTCGCAGAAAAGGAGCGAGAGAGAGGGAGGCGGATATAGACCGAAAGGAGAGACCGGTGCGAGGCGGCTGGTGAGAGGGAACAAGAGACAGAAAGGGAGGGGAAGAAAAGTAGACGAAGAAGAAGGCTCTTTGGTGGAGCACGAGGCAACAACAAACGACGCACACATCGGCTCGTGCGAACATGGCCCGGAAGGTGCGCGCAAGGCTACTGCGCACAGTCTTGTTTTGCTTGCCGCGGGACGAAGGGAGCACGGAGGCGGACGCACGTTCACGGGGCATGGCGTGGTGCGCGTTCTAGTAAACAAGTTGTGCGCGGCTCGTGCGGGGAATCTGCGTTCCGGAGTCATCGTGATTTTTCGTAGGAACGAACGCGATTTAGCCCGGTCAGAGCGAATCGTGCCGTGCACAGAGGTGGTTAGTTTAGTTTAGACCCAGCGTGCATCCGTGACGGACCTAGAACGAGTCGTCGTAGAATATTCGGCGCCGTCCTACAGGCGAGAGAAGTTCATCGAGCTCTGGTGTAACTCGACCACCGCGAACCACCTCGTGTCTTCTCCGTTTGTCTGTCTGCTGGTCTGTCTCTCTGTGTACATATCTGTGTCACATACGTATATCGTGACTACTCCGTTACGAGTGTTTACACACGCGGAACAAGTGTTGTGCGTTGTTGACGAAAGTGCTGGGCGATTCTCAGTTATCGAGCGGCCCTCGATCGTATCCGAGCCACAACGTTTCGCCGACGGCATTCGTCGAATTCTTCCACCACGCTGATTCGGTAAGGCGACCCTCGAAACTTTCTTCTAGACTTACTCTTGGCGCGCGCTTCCCGTTTCTATCGAGTTCCCCCATACGTACCGTGACACGACGCATTTTCGAACACGAGCGTCTACGGTTGGAGAAATGAACCTTAAAGCCTCGAAGGCTCGTGTCGATCGGACACGATCCGTCGAGTCGCAAAATCGGGAAACGCGTGCCCTCGATACCTCGGTAGCGATCGAATTCTTTCTCCGTCTTCGATCGCTATTGCCATCTTTCTCTTTCTCTCCCCGTACACAGAAATGCGCGTCAGAAATACCAAACAATTACCCTTTGGAGTTAGGTGGGTTTGGCATATTTTACTCCAATTTCGACCACTTTTACAGTTCAATATTTGATTCAAAATTTTTTATTTGCTTGCCAATGTTAGAAACTAACGATATACGTTAATACTCGACGTGTTTCGTTACTCGTTGATCGCGTACTGTCCGATCGTGATCCGCGTTCCTCTCCGAAGGACACGTAGCACAGACCTGTCCGCTTTCCAAATAACGCTCGTCGATGGGAAAGTTTCGTTGCTCGCCGATACATAGAAATTAATGAAGAGACACAAATATCTCTTAATCGGCTACTTCTCATACCGTTGATGTACGTATGGTTTATATCGATATTTTTCCGAAGGGCCGCGACCCTAGGGGATGCGAAGGATAAATAGAAGTTGCTAGCAGTCGATCGTCAGCGTATTCCTCGTGGTAAAAGGACCTCGGAACGTCAATAGGCAGAGTGGCACAGCTATATCGCATTCCACGATATTTCTCTCTTTAGTCACTGACCTCGCGACTACTCGGCCAACCTCGTTTCGTTGCCACTCTCGTCTCCTTGTTTACCACTCTCGAGCCCCTCCGGTCTCGGAAGGCTTCCACGAAATTTTACGAGATATTTACAGTGAATTGCTTTGATATTAGGACACCTCGCAACTTTTATTTTTCCACGCTCTAATTTTTTCTGCAACGAAGGACAAATTAATCGAGTGAAAAGTTTATATATTCGACGCGCCAATGAATTATATACATACACCTTATACCTTTATTAACTAGGCTAGACTAGTAATAGATACATTTCTAAAGCGACAAAGTAAAAATAGTAGCGTCCCAGTGGTAGAATTACTCATGTACGAACGATCCTTACGTCGCAACAGAATTTTTCCATTCGGATCAACGATCATGGACTACTCTTTCGTCGTACTTGTTTCCGCATATCCTTTCCATAACAATATGCTCTCCGGAATGGACAGAGAAAATACCCGTGGAAAACGGGTGAGATCGGTTTCTCTGCGATTCAAAGGCAACCGGGATCATTGCGTAACAAATCGTTAAACAAAACTTCCCTCCGGACATCCCAACTCCGTGGATTATCCTTTATTATCGCATCGTTAATAGAATCCGTATTAGCTCCCTATTCTGGACCATAATTTGGATTGTTCCGCGAGAGAGCAATTTAGACGCTGATTTGGCGTCTCCGATCATCGTACAAACGCGGAACCGAGGAAAGTTCTCGTATTCTACGACCCAATGTTTTTTCTGTGTTTTGTTGGCTGTCCGGTAAGATTGCCAATTCTGTATAAGAATTGCCCAAACGAACACTGCCCGAATACGACACGACGAAGACGATGTTTACATCTGGTCGACCTTGGTTGCTTCGGGATATTGTAATCGAATAGACAGATTTGTTCGTGCGCGTCGCATATCATCGCGAGAGAACATTCCCGTTGATGCGCGATTAACGCGTTACGTTCCGATCACGGATACCACGGACAACTTTACGCACTGTGGCATTTAACACCCGGACAGTTTGATAAATTATTAAAGAGAATCCATAAAATATCCAAATTGTCTGCTTCAGCGGTTTGTGTTTAAGCGAGGAAAGAAGAAAAAAAAGAATAGCGGCGTGGGCAGCTACCATCCGTGGATACGGGAAAAAAATCAATATTGTATTTTCAACGTAACGCGATACGTCGGAAAGTACTTGTGACGCATTCGTCTTCGTTAATTGTTTTGCATTCGCAACTATTTTCGCACCATTGCGTAGGGAAAAATACGCTTCTGATCGCCGATTCGTCGCATGCTCGATCGCACCAATCGGTGTTGACGCGAACGACGTTTCGAAGCTTCCGTTTTCATAGTTTCCTCCTTCGTCACTGCGAAAACGTGTGACGTCGATCCGAATCGTGGCGTCGGCGTCGCAGGGACGCCTACTCCTTGTCCCGTGACCAACGCCACGGCGTTTTCCTGATCTAGTCCCACGTGGTATGACACGGCAGATTGTCCTCGTCGTTATTTGCTGCTCGCGACACTGCAAATAACTGTATTCTTATCGCGAACGCGTGCGTTCGACGATTCTAACCGCCAAGCTAGATTGCGCGTTTTATGCGTGCGCACACGCTCGTTCTTCAATCATTTACGAAACACTTACGCTTTACTCGAGAAACGTGGTTTCTAGAAAAGTGTAGATTGCGACGATACTTGATATCGAAAATGCGATCGTTTCTTAGGATTATCTCATCGTCGCTAGTTTCTCTGAATCTCTTCGGAAGCACTGGCGCATATGGCACGTACGGTAGCGCTGATAGCGTTTTATTCGAGTCGATAGTTATTGTTTTGAAAACATTCTAACGTTGACTCTGATACGTAAAGTTTCTGTGATTATTTGAAAAACAGGTAGACGTTAAAACTGAACATTATTTTTCAGTGGAAAAAGTCGTACGTCGAGTGAATAATGCAATTAGAAACATAAGATTAGACATGTCGTTTTCGAAAGGAACGCGAAAGAGTAATCGCAATTGGCGCGTAACCTATTTTTCTTCGACAAAGTCGTCGATGGACTTTGAATCGATTTATATTCCGGTTTACCAAAAGCTTCCCATGATCGATAGCGATAGCGATAGCGATAGCGACAGTTTTCCTCGCGAACACTCGATATACATACCGTGTAACGTCGTCGGCTGCTCGAGTCGAATAAATCTCCGGTTACTTATTCAAGCGTTGGTTGCGCGGTAGATTAGCGCCAGGTTAAATCATCGATATCTTCGGTGGATTATTGGACGATTCGTTCGGTAATTGGCGGTAATCGGCTGGCAAATCTTCAACCACATTCTATTTATTCGAATGGTAATGAACGAAGCACTGGTTTAAACGACATAATTAAAAGAAAAGTTCTGAAAATGTTACTTGGTAATAAACAACCGGTAGTGCCTCCCTTATTATAGATGAACTATTACAGAGAGCAATTTTAGCTGTTTTTTTCTTACTAAGAACTAACGTGCTCCCGCAAACACGTTTACAAATTCCAGTTGGAGAAAACCTGTTGCGTATAATCGAATAATGTTAATATCGAATGCAATGGTATAGTTCGATGCAATCATAGCCTTCTATAATGTACTCTCGAAAATATAACCGACAACCGAACTAATTAGCTAACCAAGTCTGCATGGCGACTCTTAAAATGTGTAATTAGTATCAAGTATCGGCCGACAAAGAAATCGTCTCGTGGCTTAATCTCAGTCCATGAGAATGGACGCGGTACGACGGGAACACGGTTATCGCGAGGGAAAACGTGTGGCGATCGAACGATACTTGGTCGTATTCTTTATGCATCGTATATTTCGCGATATCCTCGATTGTAACGATCCCCGGCAAAGCGAGCGGTGTTCGTTCACTTTGTTAGTAGATCGAATTGCGGCAATGAACGCGGCGAGAAAGCCGTCAGTCCATTTGCATCGGTCCCTCGTAACCCGCATTTCGACTCACCGCGCCGACATTTCTACTTCTACTTTTTCGCGAAACTTCTCGTTTCTAAAACTTT